GCGCTTTCCTATGTCTCTCTGCGCACCAACAACAAACAGGTAGTACATACCCTACACCACTTCGCCTATTACTGTTATTAATATAATAGATTTTCAATATGCTAGCAGTTTACTATTTTATACAAATATATGCAAAATTATTGAAAAATATAAACAAATGTGTGGACGCTTATTCTCAGATGGTTGGCATTTTTATAAATTATTGAGAACATATACGCTATTTTCTCTAAGGTGCGATTAGATAATACGCCGCGGGAGGTCGTAGGGAGGTTAATTCCTCACGACAAGGTTGTGCAGGTACACTTCAACGAAGTGTATACAAACGAAAAACAAGGTATTCTCGGACCGAGGATATACGTTATGGTTGCGGCTACGACGACACCAAAAAAATTAGAATAACGGAAAAATACAGAACAGTACTCTTCTTCGGTATACGTAGCCTGCTGACAATTTTCAACGATCAGCGCCACCGCCATAACCAGTTACAATGGAGCTCCAAACAAACTAGACAGATACTTAAGTATCGCAAAGGAGGCTGGCCTAGAAGTAAACGCAGTAGTCTGCGATAGGAACAGAGCAAACCTGCAAACACTGGTAAAGTTCGCAAACGGAAAGTACCAACGGAAGCGAGCTGACGGTACCATTTATACGATACACCATCTGTTCGACTAAATACATCTGGTGCATGGATTTTACGATAAGATGAGATCCAGCAACCCATTTGACACTTCCATCGTCACCAAGTCACATGCGGAAAAACTTAGCACATCAAATCACTTAAAGAGAAGAGGTGCATGCTTAAAAAATACTTCTGCTGGATGGTTCAAAGAATGTATGCAGCTATTAACTCCCGCAACAGTGGCAAACTTGGACGTCGTTGTGCAGAGCAGAATTATTCATACAGAAAAAGATATGCGAACATACAAAGCCTTCGCTGGGCTGACTGAATTATGCAAAGTCATGCACACGGGCAAGATAAGCAGCGCCGAATGGCAAGAACAGAAAGCGGTGCTAGCCGAAGTGAAAACTTATTTAAAAGCTAACTTCCACACGGCCGAGGTAACTAAGCCCACCTTGGACACCATCAACAACTTCGAGGAGATAATGGATGGCCAGCTGGAGGCTTACCCTGGCATAACTATACAAGCCTACAGGGTAAGCCAAGACCTCTTGGAAAGATTTTTCTGCAAGATGGCGACAAGCAAGAGAACGAGAACAAGACCGGTGGAAGATATAATGGAGCTGGGCACCCGTCTAATGAAACTGCAACTAGAATTTTAGGGAGGCGGATCCAGCACTGATGACGATTATCATTTCGTTGAAAAGCTGGATTACAGGACACCAGCCCAGGCCGAAGATGAGTTTCTGCCATACGACCTAAATGGGGCGTCATTCAAAGTAGCTGGCAAACGGCTAACCGCAAATGAGGCGGAATAGTTCAGGCTGCTCACAGGCTATCGAATAGTGCAATGTATTCGTGAGCAGCTAAGATGCCAAGCATGCCTAGACGACCTAACGCTGAGGAAGGAAGAAGCATGCTCCGAAATTCACGGCCCAAAAGAAACTGAAACCCAAATTTCCGAGGCACAATGTATCTGACGTTTTTTTGAAATCCATGAGCAAGCATTTGGCAATAATGAAGTCCCACATGGTTGAGCCCAACATCGGCAAGCGCATCCAGGCGACAATAGTGAAGCAGCTTGCCTTCTCTTCAAGAAAACAGGCTCCTGCCCCAATGGAAGAAGTCACCGCACTAACCTCCTAGGCTTCATGATACATTTGCTACTGACTTGCAAAAACTGGGTGTAAGAAACAGTTGCAAACGTATCATCATTTTAAAGAAGAAGTCGTGCTTTAGGTCCGCCCGCAAAATCAACTCCAACTCCCTCCGTTCACCGCCTCATATAGATGAAGATTCGCTGCATGCTAAAGGCAAGTTTGCATTTATCGTTACTTATTATTATGTATAATTTATTCATTTCTTTTTATTTTATCTTAGATTAATGAGCATGTTTCCTTTTGCACCTCCATTCATCGTTTCAGCAGAATGCGATACTTCCGTAGGCCAATGGTAAGTTTGTGATCATCTTTGTATATAAAATTTATTGATCACAATATTTTTCTTTTGCAGATGTCAGGACACCGGCATAGGAGCAATTTTTATTTATTTATATGTATGTTACGTATTTTTACGTATATTACTATGTATAATAATCTATTATTATTATTGTAAATAATATTGTAATTTCTAATGTATATAATGGTGTAGGCCTACTGGGGAGCCAGCCATTTAATACAATTGGCAACACGCCTATCACGGTAGCCCAAGAATGGTGCGGAAAACCGTAAACATCAGGCTGTGCACATTCTTATACTTTGCGGTTGTGTGGAAGAAGCTTTCGTGTTGATGGTCGCTTCGTTGCAATTGGTACAATGTTCTCTGGCAGTGTTTCCATGTACATCGCTTTTAGTTTACAGGTAAGCTGTTGAGGATAAAATTGTTTGCAGTCAAAATTCGTAGACGTACATCTCGAGTAAGACAAAAACCTTGTGAGTACATCAATTTTTTAAAAAAGCTGCCGCAGATTGCATTTTAAAATATTGACGTTTTTGAACCCATCTGTATGGAAACTGAATCTTGACATGATAAGAAGGCATAGTTTTCAATATGTCTTGGCGAAAATTCGTTCATTATAATAATTTGACATAAAACTTAACCTTAATCTATGAACCAGATACCGCTATAAAGATTCCATAAGCACTCAAGAAATCTTGGAAGAAGTGAAAAATAAAATACGTCAAGATGAGGTGGGCAAGATCAACAATCTGGGAAGTTCGCTTGTTTGTGCAGAATTTCAAACAACGAATGATAAAAAAAATCCATATTGGAGGAACCGTAGGAATTCGTACAAAATCAAGTAAAAGAATTTGTTGGCTGTTTACAAGAAAAGGACTATGAATGTACAAAAATGGCAAAGAACAGTGCATAAGTCGACAAACCCACAGGTTTTCAAACGGCTAATGGCAAGAACGTTCTCATATCTGAAAAAGGGAGAAAACGTGTGGAAGGCTTCCTAAACGAATTTCATCAAAGTGAAAGTGATGGTGATATTGAGGATAACTTGCTTTGTATAAAAAATAAAATTTTTTCTAAAAAGCAAAGCATCTTTAACAAGCAGGAAAGAAGTAGGTTACCCCAGATGGAGCGGCAAATTGTCAGCAGATGAGAAAAAGTCGAATATAATAGTTGAAGAAGAGAAAAGTGAGTGGGTTCTTACTCAAGATAATTCAAAGCAGTTTGCATATTTACGAACGATGGTACACCATTGTTGGCTCTTGATGATGAATCGAAACAAACCGTTTTAAAATCTCAAAATACTTGGCAATATTTAAACATCGGGCATTCGACTTTAAATGTTCCAGTTATGTTTCGTAAAAATTGCTTGTTGTCATTAAACCCAAAAAAGAATTTTAAGTCACCCAATGAATTCCGTGAGACACCCAATAGAAATTTATTACAAACCGAGACTACAACACCCGCATTAGGGTAGTTCCTTAAAAATGCTGTTAAAACAAGTACACCATGCAATAACCCAAAACTCAACGTACAACCAAAAGTATCCGCAGCTAAAGTATTGCAGCTTATAGCAACAAACACTTTTCCAACCGCTCTGATTTGGCATTAGGAAAATCAAACTGGCCTTTCCTGTTGCTGTATATTAATTTATATAATTTATATTTAAATATAAATAGCTTTATGTATATAATAGCTTTATTATATATTTAAAATAGCTTTATTAATATATATTGTAACGAGTCTTTTTGGGCAGGATATACTCAGTCAATTCAAGGCTGAGCGTTCAAGTTCAAGTTTATTTATTCCAATTCATTTGTTTTGCATTTCGTATAATTTTTTGGTTTTTACATAATTTTCTTAACGTAACTAGTACTTTTCTAAGAATATGTCCTTTACCAGCTTTAAATTTAATTCTTTCGTTATTAAACATTACTATTTATATCTTTTACAGTTAATTACCCCAAAAAAAAAGAAATGACAAGAAAGGGGTTTCTTTTAGATTTCTTGGTTTTGCTTAAATCTAGAGCTATTTACATTTTTAAAAACTACTTACATCTAATACAATGCCTACGTACAATCATTGCGAAGTGTTATATACTAAGCTCGTCAGATCATAGGAATTTTTTCTTCTATGGTAGAAGTACAGTTTATTGTTTAGGGTTAAAGCATTGGCAGAAAAGCTGAGCGTGGTGCGACACGCCCTTTTATAGTCGCAATCACCACCACCGTTACTGCTCTTGGCTATACTTGCTTACATTACTTTGCTGTGAAAAAAGCAATTAAATTCATTCTTGGGAAAAATGAAATGACATTTTCTAAAAATTACCTATCCTTTATTTCTTATTTTATAATTAAAATTTTCTTGTCTTGCATTTGTTAACTAAAGAAAAATAATTCTAATCTCTAATTCTAAGTTATTTCTCTGATCCTAACCAATTTTTTGTGACTGTAATTGAAATTATACACAAACGATTAATTTTTCGATCAATCCTTCTATAATAAATTACTAATTAGAGTGAAATAATAATGAAGTTACAAAAACTTACATTATGAGGTCCATTGTGATTATATAAGTGTCTAATATAACTACTAGACCAGAAAAATGATCTTTACTACCGAAAACTGGCCCTGGTTGCATACGTTCCTTGGCGTACCATATGGCAAAACTGTAATCAAATAATTCTGTACTTTTGCCGTGAACTTTAAAGGTCACACGAATTTCCCAATTCACAGTCATGCATGGCTGAAGTTATTAAAAAAAAAAAATTCCTTGAAAAATCATATTGCATAATTTGAACTTTTTAATTCATCGGAAAATTCCAAATAGCTCCATTTTTTGATTGCTGATCTGGTGTCAGTCTAAAAGCCACTGATTCTCGCATAACATTTTAGCTGAGTTTAATGGAAACAATACTTCCTAATAATGAGTTTCACAAAAAATTACTGTATTCAGAACTTTACCCATAACTTTCACAGTGTCCACAAAATTTTGCCATTCAGCGAAATTCTTTGTTTGTCGTTATATGATGAGATATCCCATTTTCTTACTCAAGGCATGGCCAAGAACTAACAGCCAGCCAAGCTTATGCTCCAATAAACGTTGCGGTAAAGCCTCCAAACATTCTTTAACATTAACGTCAAATTCTCGATCATCGAGTCCGTAAGCCCATAATAATAACTATGTCTACAACGCATTGTTTCCGCGACATCTTAAAGCAACGAAGAAGTCAACAATTCAGCAGCAGCGTTTAGTAAATCATGTAAGCACAAAAGATTTGATTCGCCTGCAAAAAAGCAAAAGGATTTCCAACTAAACTCTATGAATAAAATAAAAAAAAGAAGAGATAGCACATCTTTTGGCTTACACACTGCGTTTAACAAATTGTACGTATTCATATAATTCATTATTATCTGATTCTTCGCAGTTACAGATAATGTATCGTTTGAGCTTGTTAAGGTATTTTACATCACCGGGACCACAGACGGCACCGGCAGAATACCACAAGCATAAGCGTAAATAGTCTAGTATCTGGCAAAGGAGTAAAGAAGAAATATATTAGAGCAACACACTTTTTTTATCCTTATCTCGTTTACCTCCTTGTAGTAATCAGATCCAAAGCGGTTAATCGAGTTTGACGGCGGGATGAAACAAAAACTATGGTGGGTTCCGTTGGCGAATAAGAGCGTATTGCTTGGAATGTCGGCTGATTCGTAGTGGCCATCCGTGGACAGTAATGTTTGCTTGCAAATAAATGATTAAAGAAAAGTCAGAAAAGTTATTCAATTCGGTTTAATTACCGGAAAACCCATTTATATGCACTTGCAAAGGAACCGGTCTTACGGAAGCTTTAAAATTATATAACCCCATTTCCTTAATATCCAGCCAATTGGCGAGATCTTGAGCGTTGGCCAAAGCAGTAGATAATCCAACGATACGTACATTGCATCCGGAGTGTGACGTAATGAAATTCGTACGTGACACAATTACTTCAATGACAGGACCTCTGTCTTCTCCGAGGAAATGTATTTCGTCTATAACAATTAGTACAACATCCTGTACATATTCTCTTGTCTGCCAAGACCGGCTGATACCATCCCATTTTTCTGGTGTGGTAACTATCAGTTGAGAATCCAATCGCTAATTCTTTCCTTAACCAAAGCTTTCAAAGGCGCAATATAAACAACCTTAGCTCTTTCATTATTATTGAGTGTTCGAAGTATGGCGATGTTGGAAACGATAGGCGAACTTGTTGGAAACGATAGACGAACTTACGGATAGACGAACTTGTTGGAAACGACAGACGATTTCCGCCACTATAGTTTTACCCGAACTTGTGGGTGAGCCCAGCAAAACGTTATTATCAGTATGATAAAGACAATGAAAGACTTCAGTTTGCATAAGATTGAAATGCGTAAAATTATATAAAGATTCATAGACTGGGTTTTTCAGAGCACTAACAGCTACAGGTTTCAGTAAGAGAATTCATGGTACATAGAACAAACCGTACAACACCCAACTTTTAATCAATAAATGAGATGTAAGCGGTAATGAAAATAGATTGCGGTTACTAGCTGTTAGTAGCTGACAAAAACACAAATAAATTGAAAGTGATTATATACTAGGAAGAAAAAGTGTGCTTATCACAGCAACTTTATTGGTAGGTAGAAGTAAACTATTCAAGATGGTTAGTGTGTGCAAGAAATTCAATATAAATCTAATATGAGAAAAACTTGATTTGCTTAAACTAGCCATAAATTTTTGGCAAACAAAACCCATGCGATTTGGTCTGCATTAGAGGATAGATAAGAAAAGTAAACTTATTTTATATTACCTTCTGTAGCAGCAATTTTAAATACATTCAAAGAAAACAAAATTAATATAATAGTTTATTAGAATTAAAGCTATTTTAGTGCAATTAACAGATATTGATAAATTTATGGATATATAAATCTTTTCCTAAAGGAATTGTCTATTAGAAAAATTTTTATAGCTTTGTAAACATTTGAACTAATTTTTTCATTTTCATTTTCGATGTTAAAAAAAAGAAAGGTCATAAGAACCTAAACATAGACCAGAAAAGTACATTGTACGACCAGAAAAGTATATTGTACGACCAGAAAAGTTTGCTTTTAACATCACAAACGTAGACAAAATCTAGTTATCGACATTCCATTTGATCTATAGGAAATACTAATAGCTTTAGTAAATAGTTGAATTTTGCTTTTAAAAGGTAAAAATTGAAAAAAAACATTTTATTTTTTGTTGCTATTGGAAAATAGCATGAAAATATAACATCATACTGTCTGTAGGAACGGTGTGCTATGTGTTTGCGATAAAAAGC